GACGACCCGAACTGGCGTCGCGAAAGCAAAGAATGGTTCAGCTAACCAATACAGATTATGAACTATCGTTGTTGAAAGCAACGCGAACTCTTTAATAACTTAGCTACGCTGTGTATTACGCAAATATAACTAGTTTTTTGATATTTTTAGGTTCTGAAAAAAGTTCATCAAATTTGAAAAGTAAAAGTTCATTGATTTCAAGAAAAGTCATCTAATTTGAAAATAGTTCATCAATTTTCGAAAAAGATTATTGAATTTGAAAAAAGTTCATCGATTTTGAAAAAAAGTTAACTGAATTTGGAAAAACTTTCATCGATTTGAAAAAAAGTTCATCAAATTTGAAAAAAGTTCATCAAATTTGAAAACAAGTTCATCGGTTTTGAAAAATGTTCACTGAATTTGAAAAAGATTGTTCATCAATTTGAAAAAAGTTCATCAAATTTGAAAATAGTTCATCAGATTTGAAAAAAGTTCATCGAACTTGAAAAAATTTATCAATTTTTAAAAAAGTTCGTACATTGAAGTAAAGGAAAAAAAAGAACAAGAAAAAGAATTAGTCCCGGCTACCCAAGAGAATAAAGGGGAAAAGGAAGCACGTTGGCACATGCGATCGAGATAACCTAGTGGTTGAAGCCATAGCTTTGACCTCAAGAGGTCTTGAGATCAAAACAGGCGGGCACACTATTTTTTTGTACGTTGAACAGAAAAAAAATATTGAAAGTGGGCCGGCCCAAGCCGCAGATGGGGTATGCGCCAGTTAGCCGATTTGCCTGTGTTCGGCGCTTAAGGCGCCGAATAGGATTTGGCTAATTGCATATTCAAAGTTTGGGATTGTTATAACCGGCTAGATGGGATCAAAATAGAGACTTGTGACATCAGAAGAATTGTTTTGTGGCTCCCTCTGGTGGTTTCTTGATTTTAGGAAATTTATAGGCTTGGAATTAGGTCAAACGGAGTTACGAGGGGCCCACAAGCCTGGGTGGCACATCCCCTGAGCTTGTGGTCCTCTCGTGCATCGTCCGGTCTCCCCCCAAAGCTTCTAGGGTCTCTTCTGGTCCCAAAAAAATCACCGTAAAGTATCATCGGTTTGGACTTCATTTGGTATGGTTTTCCCACGAAACAATAAAAGGCAAAAAACTAGCACTGTGCACTAGGTTTATAGGTTAGTTCCCAGAAAGGATATAAAATTGCATATAAAGCTTACATGTTTGATAATATAATAGCATGCAACAATAAAAAATATTGATACATTGGAGATGTATCACTCACAACTACCAATGATGCATGGACTACAAAAGATTTGCAAGCTGAGAAGAAATGAAGTCATGATGCGTGTCGGGAATGGTGATGAGATTGCTGCTCAAACCGTTGGTGTCATGTCATTAAGTTTATCTTCAAGATTTATCTTAGAACTAAGTAATTGTTATTTTGTTCCAAAATTATGTAACAAAATTATCTCTTGATCATGTTTGATAAATGCTGGCTATTCTTATAAATCGGAGAACGGTGGTTTTTCAATATATTATGAGAATATGTTTTATGGATTTGCACCCATAGTTGGTGGGTTATTCATATTGAATTTTGAACGTGAAAAATGGACTATAACATTAATGCTAAACGTCTTGACAAGACTGATAATACCACTTACATGTGGCGTGCAAAAACTTCATAAGATGGAGTATTAAAATCATTTGTGACATGTGAAGCCCGTCTGATGGGTAAAATGACTAAAGCGCCATTCATTGGTCATCCTTAAAGGCCGCATGAATTGTTGGATATAATACATAGTGATGTATGTTGTCCAATGAGTATTCCTGCGCATGGTGGATACTTATACTTTGTGACCTTCACTAATGATTTGAATAGATATGGTTATATTTAGTTGATGAAACATAAGTCTGAAACATTTGAAAAGTTCAAAAAAATTCAGAATGAAGTTGAGAATCATCGTGGCAAAAAGATAAAATTTCTACGATCAGATCGTGGTGAAGAATATCTAAGTTATCGGTTTAGAAAACATCTAAGTGATTGTTGAATTGTTTCACAACTTACTCACCGAACCTTGTTAGACATGGTGAGGTCAATGATGCCATTTGCTGATATACCTTTATCATTTTGGGGATATGCACTTCAAACAGTGCCATATGCACTAAACAGAGCACCATCTAAGTCTGTTAAGACGACACCATATGAGTTATGGAATGGGAAGAAATCCAATTTGTCGCATCTCAATATATGGGGTTGTCAAACTTATGTAAAGCTTTTACAGCCAAATAAGCTTGATCCCAAAGCCGACAAATGCTACTTTATAGGTTATCCAACAATTGGGTATTCCTTCTACAAAAATTCCGAAGACAAAGTGGTTGTTGCAAAGAATGGACACTTTCTCGAGAACGCGTTTCTCGCTAAAGAAGAAAGTGGGAGGGCAATATAGCTTGACAAGATTATTGAATCTTCAGAATTCATGAGGACTAATGAGACATAATATGTTCTGAAAGTAATTCGCACAACTAAACCAAAAGTTACTACACTAGATGTAGAAACTCCAATTAAGATGGTAACTGAACCGCTTAGGCCAGGAAGAGTTATCGAACCTTCTAAATGGTTTCACAATAAAATATCCATCTTAGAGGAAGATGAACCTACGCACTATAAAGGAGTGATGGCGGTGCCCAGCTGAAAAGAATGGCTCAAAGTCATGCAATCCGAAATGGAGTCCATGTACGAGAATCAAGTCTAGAACTTGGTTCATCCTCCAGAGGGTGTGAAACCCATACAACGTAAATAGATATTCAAGAGAAAAATTTACACAGATGGTAATCCTTATCTATAAAGGAAGGTTAGTTGCAAAAGGGTTTTTGCAGGTTGAGGGAGCTGATTATGATGAGACTTTCTCACTAGTAGCTATTGTAAAGTCTGTGAGGATTATGCTGCATATTTCGATTATGAGATATGGTAGATGGATGTCAAAACTGCTTTGCTAAATGGATATCTGAAAGAGGATGTATATATGATACAACCAGAAGGTTTTTTCGATCCTAAGGAAGCTGGAAAGGTGTGCAAGCTTGAAAGGTCGACCTATGGTTTGAAGCAAGCATCTAGGAGCTAGAATCAGTGTTTTCATGAAGTGGTAAAAGAGTTTGGCTTCATTAAAAATGATGAAGAAGCTTGTGTATACAAGAAGTTTAGTCGGAGCTCTATAGCATTTCTATTCTTATATGTGGATGGCATATTATTGATTGGATTATATAAAGTTTCTTAGCACGATAAAAGACTATTTAAAGAGCGTGTTTTCAATGAAATACTTAGGCACAACTGCATACATATTGGACATAAAGATCTATAGAGATAGATGAAGACGTCTAACTGCGCTAAGCTAGAGCATGTACATTGAGAAGGTTTTAAACAAGTTTAAAATGGACAATACAAAGAAAGGATAGCTACTTGTGATCCACGTTAGTCTTCCTCTAAAGAGGAGGGGATGATGCAGCACAACAGAGGTAAGTATTTCCCTCAGTTATGAAACCAAGGTTATCAATCCAGTAGGAGAACCAAGCAACACTATATAAACAGCACCTGCGCATAAACAACAAATACTTGCAACC